ACGACCATTTCACATTTCGAACAGCAAAGAGAAACACCGGGCCAACTACGACATTTACCGCTGGCGCCATTTGCAAGTTCAACATGATCTGCCAGCTCCAATATCTTGCACAGAACTCAACAGCATTTTCGGACACGCAGCTCCAACTTGTTCTGCCGAACTGAACCAAATCTTCAGGCGCGGGGGGCGATCCGATCGCCCGTGCCGGCGTCACGATCCGTCCGGCTCCACCCGCGTCCCCCAAAGCCCCGCGCCGGGTGGCTCCCCCGCCGCGTCGGCGGCGATCGGCAGTCTGACCGATCATGAGGGCGGCGACGCCGCGCGTCATCCCCTCCGCCACCCCTCTGGACCCCAGCTGCCGAGCGGACGCCGCACGCGCTGGGTGGTCGCAGGTCACAGTAGAACGGCGCGCCGTGGCGGCCAACTTTTACAATTTCGCAGCCGCTGGACCCCAGCTCGCGGCGACGTGCACGTGGATGCGGGGCGAGACCGCCCGGTGGGGGGGGGGGGGGGTCGCACCGACACGTGCCTCACTGCGCATCGACAAGTGACAGAGGGAGGGGGCGGGCGGCACGTGCGAGCGCACTGCCGCCGCCGCGCGGTACTCAATCGCCTCGCGTGGATGACTTATCCAAATACACCGGGGTTCACCGTGTGCATATACGCGACGCAAGCCCGACAGCAAAGTGCGCGATGGTTTAATCAGCGGATTATCCCGGCAGCTGGCTCCCTGGAGCGAATCGACGGGTCGTCGTTACTGTCCCGCAGCTGCTTCCATTTCACAGAAGTCTCCGCTGATCATCCCTTCTGCGAACTGTGACAATTAATCAGCTACGGGGACTAATGGGTTTGCTGGAAATACGTGACAACAGCGTTCGACACTGGAGATTAAGATATGCTTGTGATCCCCAGCTTCGGCTCTAATTTCCGCTCCAGCCCTCGCCTGGAGACCGGCGGGCGTCGGCTCTGCACGGGGGACATGCGGAGAGCAGAGAGGCAGGGAAACACGGCACAGCATCGCAAGCGAGTGGTGTGATGAGTCAACACGAATAATGCGTTATCTCATCTAAGATGGGAAACATGCCAGCACTGAGAAGAAACGAACTCGCTGGCTGATCAGATATAATCAGATTACAAAAAAAACAGAAAACTAGAGAAAATGAAACGGGGACAAAACTTCGTTTTTCATTCCTCGTTTTCAAGCCCTGACAACATGTGTCCTCGCAGACTTCTTTATAGGCAAGCCTTCGTGTCCGCAAATATGCGTATGGCAAATGTTCGTAAAGCCATAGTTGCATATGTAAACCTTCGTGCGCATACGCCATTCTTTTTATAGCACTTATTTACGTGGGCTTTACTTCGTTACTTATTTCTTCGCGCCCGCTTTAATTCATAGACGCAGTTGTTAATATCACACTTCTATGCGTACAAAGTTCTTCGTACTGCATTTCCACGTTTACACCCTTTTTCATGTACATTTCAACCGACACGCAGTTGCTCGTGCGCATTCTTTTGCACGGCCAACATTCTGCGTCACGTTTATTTGAATTTACAATGCTTTGGATGCCTTGCAGCGAACTTTGACTTGGTACCGTGCGTGTTGAGTTGCCTCGCTTGCATAGAGGGGTCCATATGCGCTCGAGTCCGTTAGGACGTAACTTAGCGCGTTGGCCGCGTGCCATTCTCAAATTCACGGAAACAACGACATGGTAATCCTCACGACATGCCCACATCTCTGTCACTTTGAGAACTATACGCGAATGGTCATTGTGACTGGGGCTTTACGACGCAACAACTGCTGAGGGTACACCGCGTCGTCTTCCCACTACCCTGGCAGGAAGGGCGGGCATAGCAAGGAATCGAACCCCGTACCTCTAGTTCGTCAGACGATCCGCTTAACAGCCGCGCTACTGCACGACTTGGGCGGTAACATAGGGATCACGTTATTTGCGCGCACCGCTGTCTGAGCACCAAGTTCTTCTTCTGCGCAGTGATGATGATGATTGGGGTTTAAGAGCGCGTCGACTTCTAGGGTCATTTTGCGCCCGTAACAGCTAAGTGTTCACCGTGGTGTGTAAATGGCTGTGAATCCTACGTTTCTCATCAATGAAAACAGCTGTCCGGTGCCAAGCATGCGAGAATCATCACCAATAAGGTCTGAAAAGGTAAGACCTGACGCATCTCGTCCGAAGTAAAGTGCCCGCTCTGCTCTTCTGCGCAGTGATATCTGCTGCGTTTTTCGGCGTACGTGCTTAATCGCGTTTCATCCGTTGGTACGCTGCTGCGCGGTCCTCAGGTTCAGCCAAATTATACGTGTTTTGTGCGCTATTTTTGGACTCAATATTTATATGAAGATGCGACCATATCAACACCGACACCCTATTGGGAATGTTTGAAGCCGCCTACCGCGTGCTGCTGCGTCGTGTGAATGACGCGTACAATGGCCAAACGTCGAGGATAACCGTGCCGGCTGTCCGATTGCTCGCCCCGACTAGCGACATTCTGTTACCAGAATGCCGCCCGTCAAGTACCGGGCGCGGGCTGTTCGTGGCTAGAAACGCTTCACTTCGCGAACACACCGCCACCTCACGTGGTGGTCACAGTCGTGCTGTCGCCGCTGCCGGAATGTTCGCGTACAATGGAAGCCATCGGCAGTCGGCATGCGGAGGCCACCGCTGACGTCACCGGCCGACAGGCCAGCGCCATCTCGGCATCCCAGCAGCCAGCGGTAGGCCGCCAGTCACAAGCCATTCGTTTCAGAGGCTTTGGACAGCGGTTGAAGCCGTGGTGCAATACCGGGACCAAAAATACCGCGAACAGGACGTCTTCTGGTGAGTTTAACAGCGGGGGTGAGGCGGCTGACGTGGGCACAGATAAGACGGTGGCTTATGAATCGCGCGGGACATCCAGTCAGACCTGATATGAGGTGCGCATTGTCTGGAACGATCAGTACGGAATTTCAGCGGGAAGTCCTGCAGGCACGCATTATGACGTTGGTATTGAACTAACGCAAACCAATCGGCATCTCTTCTATTGAGTTCCAACGGTTCCATTCCATTCAATTCCATTGAGTTCCATTCCATTCCAACGGACACGACCATCTCTCCGACAAAGCACGGAAGCCCTCTGTACTAAGCTCATAGCATCCTTTATTGCTTTTAGTCCCGGTCAACAATACACCAAAGCAACAATGATCACAAATGATTGATTGCATTATATGACTTTCATAAAGTTGACTCGCCACTATTATATGGAAGCCTGTCGCCAGAGTAGCCGACATATTTGCTACGTCTCCACGCAAAGTATAACCGGGGAAGCTGAGACATCCCCGAGAAAAACCGGAATGGTGGTATGCTTTAGTTGTTATGTACGGGGGCAGCGCCTAGTAAAACTAAGGATGCCAAGCAACGATTAAAGCTTTCAAAAGCGAAATCAAGACACCTTTACGTAACAAACTGTGCACAAGTCATTATATTAGCGTAGTCTGCAAAATACGATCGCGGAGCAAGGCGTCGAAGGCCGGGCAGGGCCGCAGAAAACGGGAGAGAACATGTCATCGGAGCGTAGTCGACGCGATTCGCGAAACCATAACTGTTTACACTGTGGTGCACTGATTGCGCAATCCAACGACATGCTAAGTTCACGTAGATACACGTTCTGTGAAGATACTCATCCCGAGCACTTGTCCTGTAACTGTAACGGCGGCTCTGCGGGCTTCGCCTCCTCTTCAAACTCCCAACTCGTTAAACTCTCCGAGCGGTGACTTATTTAACTCCCCGAGTGGTAACACATTTCCAGTGAGTGCTCCAGCTCCCGACAGCACGCTGCTAACTTATCTGAAGTTACCTAAGTTATCTCGTGATGCAATAGGCTACGGTCCCAGCGCAAACACCTACAATACAACCAATGAAAAAGATAAAGCTACGCTATCAAGTATTACAAAAACCGCTGATTAAAAAATTAGATCAGTGCATCGTACAAAAAATCGGCTTCTGCTCGGACCCATTTCATTTCCCAAGCCCCAGACCAAAATGTTGCGGCGTAACTATCGGGCTGTGATCAAACTCAGCGAGTATGACTTGCCTGATATAACCATGTTGGTAAAAAAGCTGAAATAAAGAATGCACGCCTGCAGTCCTTGGCAATTGCTTCCACTGATTGATTGTACTGAATGGTGCTTGACCAAACGATCAAGGTGATCGGAATTTAGGGTGAATTTATTGCGCTAGATTTTGAACCTAAAACTCGGAAAACGGGCCTTGCAGTGTCAATCAAACGACTGATCTCGTGCACCAATTAACATTTCTCAGGTGGTAAACTTCCTTTAAGCATATCTTACACGGTCGATTTTTGGAACTTCATAGGAATGGAAACGTATTTGGTATGATGCAATGGTGTAAAAACATATTTGGTAGTTGTAGCACTTGCACGGATGTTGCCGCTCACAATCACAGCATGCCAGCTGAGATGAAAATAAACAGAGCAAAACACACTATTCAGACAGCAAAACACTGAAACGACCCCTTAATGAATCACATGCTTATATGAGGAAAGCTTTCCAACAAGCGTCTCATACGAGGGAATCTACTCGGACTCGCGGGATAACTGGCAATCAGCATCAACCGATCGGAGCTTTCAGCCCACATCGGTTTATCAGCACGCGCATCGCGCCCTACACCCGACGGTCTGGCCGCCTGCCGTCCGCCGTCTCTCCAGTCTCCTGGCCCCCGGCCTGACCAGCCGACTGGCACCCCGTCCCTCGTCTCCCGTCCCTTGTCCCCCGTTCCGTGTCCCTCGTCCCCGTCCTTGACCCTCGTCCCCCACCGGCTCCGGTCCCGGCCCCATCTCCCGTCCCCGTCCCCGTCCCCGTCCCCGTCCCCGTCCTCGTCCCCGTCCCCGTCCCCGTCCCCGTCCCCGTCCTCGTCCTCGTCCTCGTCCTCGTCCTCGTCCTCGTCCTCGTCCCCGTCCCCCTGCCCGGCCGGCCGCCTGGCGTGCCTCACCTGCTGGGACGGGTAGTACTTGACGGCCACGCCGTAGACGCGGTCGACGGCGGCGGCGAGGCGGGCGGCGCGCCGCTGTCCGTCGACCAGGTCGGCCGACCACGGCGAGTGGCGCGGCCGGCTGCAGTTGAGGTAGTAAGCCACCGCCAGCTCTGTGACCTCCGGCGGAAACTGGCCCCGCAACTCGGCCCGGACGGCCGCGTCCGGCCACACGCAGAAGTCACCCACCGCCTGCCGGGTCACGAACAGGGGTCAGGTCCGTCACCGCCCGGTCACACGCACAGCTCACCCACCGCCTGTCGGGTCACGGACAGGGGTCAGGTCAGTCACCGACCGGCCACAAGCACAGGTCGCCCACCGCCTGCCGGGTCACGAACAGGGATCAGCTCATACTAGAGTAGATCTAACATCGACCGGCTACACGCACAGGTCACCCACCGCCTGTCGGGTCACGGACAGGGGTCAGGTCACATTATAGCAGACGTAACACCCCGCACGTACGCGGCTACACATGACGCACAAGGTGTTGTGCGTTGTGTGAATCTGTCACACGGGTTCCAGTCGCGAAAGTTGAACATGGCGATGACTTTAACTGCAATTCGAGGGGCTCCATCAATTTCAACAGTTCAAACATCCGTCAGCAAAGGTCAGCCGGTCTAGGCATGACGTCACGAAGAGGCTAATCAGCGTCAAGCAACAGAGGTCAGCAGGGGTGGCTCCAACTGAGGCTACAGCCAGCAATATCAACGCTTAGTAGGCAGGCGTCAGCGAGGTCCGATTCATATTGATGCAAACTGGGCCCAGTGTCTAACCCACAGTGTGATGACGTAGCGCGCGTGACGTCAGAACCGCGTCGCGCCATGACGTCACCGCATCCAGAATTAACGTAACACCACACCGCAGAGCGGTCGGGCGGGTCGGAGGCGTTCGGCGGAAGAGAGAGGTTCACGCGGGACGCGCGGGTCACACGGTGGGACAAACCCGGTCGACACCGCGCGGATCGGACGTGGCAGATCCGCGCGAGATCAGACCAGCCACATCGACGCGACAACACCGGACACCGGGTCGCGCTGAGTTCAGTGGGTCCGCGCCGGCCGGTCACGCAGCGCCCCGCGGGACGTGACAGGCGGCAGCACCGCTCCGCCTCGTCGCGAGATGACGTCACCATCACGTCACGAGATAACGTCACCATCACGTCACGAGATAACGTCACCGTCGCGTCATGACATAACGCCACCGTCACGTCGCGAGTGGACGTCACCGTGTTGTCGCAGGATGACGTCACCACATCGTCGCGAGATGACTTTAACATCACGTCGCGGGACGACATTGCCGTGACATCGCGAGATGACATCACGATCACGTCGCGACATGACGCCATCACGTACGAGATGACGTCACGATCACGTCGCGAGATGACATCACAATGCGTTTGATGGACCATCATGATGGTCCCCGTGCTCGGCGTCGAGACTTAATCACACGCCCATGTCATGGCTCGAGCAGTGAAGGATACTGAGATGACGTCAAACGTACGCAACGCGGATAACAGTCCTGACTCAAGGTTCTTGAGCAGAGCAATAAACGCCGTACACCAGCACTCCATCTTTCTGTATACGAGCTGTGCGAGCCAATGAAGCCCTATTGGAGCATATCGACATCTCTACGCGGAATTGCCCTGATAATGCAAGACAACATATTGGCTACCGACACACGTAGCATGAGACGGCGTGGTTATTGGCGCCGGCTGCCTTCGCGTCACCGGTCATAAGGCGCAAAGCAAACCTTATTGCGTCCCTTCTTAGGAGCAAGATGTCAAGCATTCGCGAGATTGGGTCAGGGAGCTGACATCATCAGGCGGCGGGGCGGGGTGAGGCGGCGGCGGGGCGCCCCCACTCACCATCGTCACAGCGGCGTGGACCGACGACAGCAGGAAGCAGATGATGACCGCCAGCAGAGACACGATCGAGAACCTGCAACGCCGAAGACGTTCAGCGTCTGGCAAAGCCGTAGCCGCTCCAGACGCAGCGACGGGTGCGGCCAGCGCAACCTCGCGGCCGACAGTCGCGTGTGAACACAATAGTGAAATAGCATATGCCGGTGAACACTTATAAGACGAGCAGATAGTGAAGGTTGTGTTCACAGCAGTGTGTCGGTGAATACTCACGAGATGAGCAGACAGCATGATGGTCGTGTATACAGTAGTGCGGCGGTGAATACTCACGAGATGAGCAGATAGTGAGGGTCGTGTACACAGCTCTGCGGGGGTGAATACTCACGAGATGGGCAAACAGCATGATGGTCGTGTATACAGTAGTGCGGTGGTGAATACTCACGAGATGAGCAGACAGCATTATGGTCGTGTATACAGTAGTGCGGCGGTGAATACTCACGAGATGAGCAGACAGCATGATGGTCGTGCATACAGTAGTGCGGGGGTGAATACTCACGAGATGAGCAGACAGCATGATGGTCGTGTATACAGTAGTGCGGCGGTGAATACTCACGAGATGAGCAGACAGCATGATGGTCGTGTATACAGTAGTGCGGCGGTGAATACTCACGAGATGAGCAGACAGCATGATGGTCGTGTATACAGTAGTGCGGCGGTGAATACTCACGAGATGAGCAGACAGCATGATGGTCGTGTATACAGTAGTGCGGCGGTGAATACTCACGAGATGAGCAGACAGCATGATGGTCGTGTATACAGTAGTGCGGCGGTGAATACTCACGAGATGAGCAGACAGCATGATGGTCGTGTATACAGTAGTGCGGCGGTGAATACTCACGAGATGAGCAGACAGCATGATGGTCGTGTATACAGTAGTGCGGGGGTGAATACTCACGAGATGAGCAAACAGCATGATGGTCGTGTATACAGTAGTGCGGGGGTGAATACTCACGAGATGAGCAGACAGCATGATGGTCGTGTATACAGTAGTGCGGCGGTGAATACTCACGAGATGAGCAAACAGCATGATGGTCGTGTATACAGTAGTGCGGAGGTGAATACTCACGAGATGAGCAGGCAGCATGATGGTCGTGTATACAGTAGTGCGGCAGTGAATACTCACGAGATGAGCAGATAGTGAGGGTTGTGTACACAGCTCTGCGGGGGTGAATACTCACGAGATGAGCAGACAGTGAGGGTTGTGTACACAGCTCTGCGGGGGTGAATACTCACGAGATGAGCAGACAGTGAGGGTTGTGTACACAGCAGTGCGGCGGTGAATACTCCCGAGATGAGCAGACAGTGAGGGTTCTGAACAGGGCTGTGCGGCAATGAATACTCACGAGATGAGCGGACAGCAAGAGTTGTGTACACAGCAATGCGGCAGTGAATACTCACGAGAAGAGCAGACAGTGAGGGTTGCGTACACAGCAGTGCGGCGGCGAATACTCACGAGATGAACAGACAGTGAGGGTTGTGTACACAGTAGTGTGTCGGTGAATACTCACGAGATGAGCAGACGGTGAGGATTGTGTACACAGCTCTGCGGCGGTGAATACTCACGTGATAAGAAGACAGCGTGAGTGGCGGATCACGCCGATGAGCAGCGCCAGGCAGGCCAGGGCGAACAAACTCAGCAGTCCCATGGTAGCCGGCCACCTGGTGGCCGTCAGGTCAGGTCAGCACGTGTCGCTTCCAATGTCGCCATGCAAAACAGGTCAATCGTGTTAACTGAGTACATTCGCGCATTTGATTGGCACAAAGTTACTACAGACACAATTCTGCAAAGGCTTCCTGGTAACTGATCTATCTAAGCCTTATATCTCAAGTTGACTGTATGCTCTGAACTTAACAATTAACTCGTAATTTGACTGTCAACTCAAATTTCATTGTCTCTTCTGCTAAAATCCGCCGAGCTGAGTCCGGATTTTAATCAATCCAAACAAAGCACGGCATCAAGAAAAAAAATGCTGCATTGCTCGGCCAAAGGCAGCATTTGTTATCTGATGGCTGAGGCGAGCACCCGGTTCGCAGCAGGTTACGTCAAAGCAACATCAAACCGCAATAGCACGAAGTGTTTCTGGCTGATTCCGGTTCTCTTTGTGAGTAGGCTAGACCGGACAAAGACGACGTACACAGGCCAGCATACGAACAAAGGGCACAGTTGCCTGGCAACGCGCTTAAAGGGAATGTTCCACATTTGAAGACAGTGAAGCAAGCATCAGGCATGATGAAATACGTCACGTGATGAAATACGTAACGTGATGAAATACTCAATACGTTACTGTTCGATTACGTCATCGTACTTTACACAACCTTGATTGAGTCAATTGACGGCCGCTATATTTGGAAATCGTGCTCATGAACGCCAGATGAAAACAACTCGACGATTACATTTCTCTTGGTCTTGACCACCGCGTGGTTAGTAAAATGGCACGATCTTAATGACGTTATTATGACGTAATGGTTGCCTGGGTGACCTTGAAATAGCCTTCCCGAAAAAGTATGCACATTTTTGCGGGCGTGTGTCGCACAGCACGTAGCCTTGCCATTCAAGCTGTGGACTGCAATGATGGTCTTCATGATGGCTATTTCAGTTCAAAATACCATACAAAACTGAAACACTCGCTATAAATTCGTCCTTTTAACTTGCCCTACGCGTGCGTCCCCTTAAATCCGTGGCCGTCTTCTTCACCCCCTCCCCACCTGATGGCGTTGTGGCCGTCTCCTTCACCCCCTCGCCATCTGATAGTGCTGTAGTTGCTTCCGCACCCCCTCCCCACCTGACGATGCTGTGGCCGTCTTCTCTCCCCTCCCCTGTCCACCTGACGATGCTGTGGCCGTCTCCCCTCCCCCGCCCCAACTGAAGGTGCTGTAGTTGCTTCCCCTCCCCTCCCCACCTGACGGTGCTGTGGCCGTCTTCTCTCCCCTCCCCTGCCCACCTGACGATGCTGTGGCCGTCTTCTCTCCCCTCCCCTCCTCAACTGATGGTGCTGTGGCCGTCTCCCCTCCCCCGCCCCAACTGAAGGTGCTGTAGTTGCTTCCGCACCCCCTCCCCATCTGACGGTGCTGTGGCCGTCTTCTCTCCCCTCCCCTGCCCACCTGACGATGCTGTGGCCGTCTCCCCTCCCCTGCCCCAACTGAAGGTGCTGTAGTTGCTTCCCCTCCCCTCCCCACCTGACGGTGCTGTGGCCGTCTTCTCTCCCCTCCCCTGCCCACCTGATGGTCTCCGAGAGTCGGACGTAGACGGGCAGCGCGTCCTCCTGCACGTTCTCCAGCCGGGCTGCCAGCCCCCGCACCGCCGATACGCTGGTCGAGACGTTCACGTCCACCACCGACATCTGGCGGACAGCACGACTCTGACTCTACCCCAAGCCCGCTCCGAGGCCAAAATACGGCAACGAAGCGTTTTACAGACAGGACACGGTGAGATATCTGTAATGCAAACGTTTACAGAAACGTTTGGGGTGTTTTACGTTGTAGAAAGTAGGGCGTAAAAGGTGGATAATCAAATGATGAAGACAGTAAATTACGCGATGACACGGCGAGAGCAGTAGCGGTGGTGCTTTCTTGTTCCAGCGACTTATCTCCAATGCTTTGCATGGGCAGCTGTGTGATCAGGCCGTTTTCTCAGCAGAGCTTGACGTTTGTTCCTTGAGCCTGCCACTCAAGTTCCGTCCTTCCAGTGCATCGATTAACACCGCTCCTGTCCCGATCGTCGGAGGAACGCAGCGGGTGACGCGTATCACGCAACGCCAGGGCACGGCCGGCCTGCGGCAGCCGTCGCCGCCTCACCTGTCTGTCGAGCCAGCCGACGATGGAGGCGTTGCTGGGCTGGCTGTCCGAGAGGAAGAGCCGCTGCAGCTGGCGAGAGCTGACGCTCACCTCGCGCAGCAGCTTGGACTCGACCAGTCGCGTCTGCGCGAGCAACACTCAGATGACATGTAGGCGCACACACAAACGACGTGTGGACGTACACCTAAACGGCGTGTAAACGTACACCCAAACGGCGTGGAGGCGTTTGGCTAGTGGCGTGTGAACCTACATCCAAACGGCGTGCAGGGGTACACCCAAACGCGGTTTAGACGTACGTACACCCAAACGCTGTTTAGACGCACATCCAAATGGCGTGTAGACGTACACCCAAATGGCGTGTAGATGTGCACCCCAACGGCGTGTAGGCGTACACCCCAACAGCGTATAGGCGTACACCCAAACGGCGTGTTGGCGCACACCCCAACGGCGTGCAGGCGTACGCCCAAAGGGCGTGTAAGCGTACACCCGACGGGCGCGTAGGCGTACACCCAAACGCCGTTTAGACGTACACCCAAATGGCGTGTAAGCGTACACACGAACGACGTGTAGACGTACACACAAACGGCGCGTAGGTGTACGTCCAAACGGCGTATAGGCGTACACCCAAACGGTGTGTAGGTGTACACCCCAACGGCGTGAAGGCGTACACCCAAAGGGCGCATAGGCGTAAACCCAAAGGGCGCGTAGGCGTACACCCAAATGGCATGTAGGCGTACGCCTAAATGGCATATAGACATACACCCAAACGGCGTGTAGGCGTACACGCGGTAGGTGCGCGCGCGGACGCATAGGAACACAGACAGATGACGTGGAGATCAAATTACATAAGAGGGTAAGTAGACCCGCCGGCGACGCGCGGCTCCGTCAGACTACAAGCGAACTGCAACAAGTTTGAAGATCCGGCACGGACAAAAAGCCTTATGGCGGCTCACGTGGAAGACGTCAAGCTTTGACTTGCGAGCGCAAGCAGATGGATAGCCACATGAGGACGCAGTCGGGGGGGGGGGGGGGGGGGGAGGAAGTCAACGATATGTGTACCAGGAATGAGACTGCTCCAATGCCGCCAATTCAGCAACGACACAGCAACACGGCACAGCACGGAACCCGATCATGCCACCACTGAGGACTGAATGGTGGCATAGGTTTTAAAACAGGCTGCCTGCAAACATCATGCGGTGACTTGAAAAGAGCAACAACGATCTCCTGGGAACAAATCCACGTCATATGCTTCCAACAACGTGGCGATTAGCACAGATTACGTGAGTACGTACCCACAGCACTGTTTCAAGCGCCTGGACGGCCGCAAGAGATACCCGACCCGGCGACGACGGGGGAGGGGGGGGGGGGGGGGACCTTCGCCTAGCGGGCATTAACTACTACGAACTTCACTTTAACCACTGCCACAGGGCTAGTGACTCAACAGTGCTGACAGGTACCAAATGCAGCGCACCGTCACGTTACAGACGCCAGCGAGTAGTCAGACATGTTCCCTGTCAACGTACGCAACTACAGAATTCAGGGAAGAGCACGGAGCCGCAGTAGGCAGTGTCACTGCCTCTTACCTGGTTCCGCACTTGGTCGAACGTATTAGCGATATCCGTCGTGGCTGACACGAACTGAGTGGAGCCCTGGTGCAGCGTGTGGTTGCCATAGAAACCGCCCGCAATCACCAAACTGCGAGCACAGGGCACAAACACAGTCACATACAGCTGACTCACGGACCGAAACCCTGAATCTCGCGCCGACCGCACTGGCTGTAAAGCATCTGGCGAGTGGCGCTTCAGAAGATGGCTGTAAGATGGATAACTGATGAATGGCAGATGAGATGGCTGTCAGACCGCCAGTCTAGCCACATCATAACCATCAGCACGGCACGGCACGGCACGGCACGGCACGGCACGGCACGGCACGGCACGGCACGGCACGGCGCAGCACGTCATGGAACAATACAGCACAGCACAGCACAGCACAGCACAGCACAGCACAGCACAGCACAGCACAGCACAGCACAGCATAGCACAGCACAGCACACCACAGCGACGCTGCATAGAGAAAGCGCCGAACATTTACTTGGATCGCAGATCTCGGCCATGCCGTCCATGCCGCCATCTCCACGGAAAATGGCATACGCGTCATCCAGCGGACGATCAGCTCACTACTAGTTGCAACGGCCGGATACAGATGGCAGGACTCACCAGGTGAGCACAGCTGTGAAGCCGAGCGTCCACTTGAGACCGACGAACGAGTGGCGCTGCTTGTGTTTGCCGCAGCAGCAGCGAGTCAGCAAGTAGACGAGCAGCAGCAGCAGCGTGAAGACCAGCCAAAGCGCCGGCACCGAGCCCACCACCAGCAGAGACTGCAGCCAGAGGCGAGGGAGCAGGCGTCAGCTACTGGCTGCCCAGCAGGGACTGCAGCCAGAGGCAAGGGAGGAGGCATCAGCTACTGGCTGCCCGGCAGGGACTGCAGCCAGAGGCGAGGGAGGAGGCGTCAGCTACAGACCGTCCAGCAGGGACTGCAGTCACAGATGAGGGGAGACGTCAGTTACCAACTGTCCAGCAGGGACTGTAGTCACAGGCGAGGGGGAGGCGTCAGCTGCTAACGCTCGCCGCCCAGCACAGCTTGCAGCCTGCCGCCGACTGTCAGAAGCTGACACCGACCAGCCGGCAGGGACTGTTCACACTGAGGTGGATGCAATAGATACATAAAGACTAGACTGACTGAAGATGACTGTCATAAAATGCTCTATAACAAAAAGAGGCAATAAGCTGATAGTGGGTGTATAGCAGGGGCTGCAAGGAATATATGGGTAATCAGCTAATGAGGACTGTTGACAAGGAATGCAGGGAACATGGACACTCAGCTGATAGTGACAAATGGGATGAAAATGGTACAGCAACACCAATATCAAGCAAACCAGACAGCAGACAAGCATGCGAAGAGCAATCAGTCTTTCAATGACCTTAAAATTGGTCTATCAAGCTTGTCTGGCATGACTCTGCCACCTGCATAAGACAGCACAATGTAGTGGCAAGGAAATATATCAGCCCTTTCTAACATAAACAATGAAGTCTTCTCCCATTTCAAAGCAGCCTGTTGCAATATTCAGCAACATCCACTCAACATAGACAGGTCTCCTTTCAGTTGACAATATACGTGAGACAAGCACAAACAGCGAAACTACATCTGCTTGGGCTGATAAAGCATATCATGGCATACATTGAACAAAGGTACGTGAGAGCGAGCAGGTGGGAGAACGTGCCCTTTACAATTCCCAACCAGTGTAACGCAAAAGGCACCTCATGACCTCCTGTCGGGGGCAGCCCCTGTCCCCTCCCCGTGAAAGGCGCGTGAAGGCCGTACCTCTGTGTAGCTGGTGCTGGAGAGGTTGAACTGGGCGGACACGGGCCGGAGGTCGGCACCTACGTGCGGCAGCCGGTGCAGGAGCTGCGCCAGCTCCGGCACCGTGTATTCGTCCATGCCGGCGCCGCGCGCCGCCTGTCGGCCAGCAACGGAAACTGCCGTCAGCCAGGCGCGGCCCGGGGGCTAGCGCCGCGACCGCAACAGCGGGGACGAAGTGCGCGAGTAGACAAGCACGTTGTCTCCAGGTCTAGAGAAATCCAGCCGGGTCTTAAGAGATCCAAAAATATCTCACTACGGATAATTTTCACCCTCCTGCTGTTCTTTTTTTTTGGGGGGGGGGGGGTTAGGCTGGCTAAGCCAATGACCTAGGCAACACCGGCAAGATCGGTAGGTTTGGGGTGTCCCAGCCGAACCTAAGGTGGTGTTGCTGATGTTATTTTTGGACATTTATTGGACGCCCTGGTCTCAATGACTCTAAATTTTTCACACTGGGCCTATGGCCATGCATGGAAAGAACGGCCTTAAGACGCGCCCGGGTGCCCGGCTGGATACACGTCGCTTGGGTGGGTGGGGGGGGGGGGGGGTCCACCCAAAAGAAACCCACCCAAAGATCTCGGGAATTAAGAACGCTGGAGACACCCAAATTGCAGGGTGTGCTGACCTGTACGTGAACTCACTTAGGTCAAAGTCTGAGGTCACTAGGTCATGACCTGCGAGTCAAATAAGGTCAAACAAGGCCAAATTTCAGGTTGGTCTCCAAAGTGTCCCCAGAACCTAGATAACTGCTTCTAAGCAAAAGGTCACAAGCTCATTCAAGGTCAGTGACCTTGCTTAACCCTTTTAAGGTCATGGTGACCAAAATCACACAAGACTGCCCGAGTTTTGCATTTGAATAAGGGACAAAGATTATACTTGGCAGTCTGTTCTTTTTTTAAAAAAAATCGACCTGGGTCATATTAGGTCAATGACCTAATATGACCTCTAAGAAGCCAACTGAAAACGCTGATGCGGTTCTTGCTATCAATGAACTCAAAATGAGCACCGGAAAATACCGCATACAATACGCCCTAAACAGGTTGGTTTTGACCTTGGTCTGACCTTCATACCTGACCTTAGGTCAACTTAATTTGCTCATTTAATGTTAGTGTTGCCTAAAAAGCATCTCAAAGATGTAGGGCTTTGTCGTATTCGTTGTATAGCCGTTGTTGCACCATACTGAACGATTCCCTAGAAATTGACTTTGCTGAAACCATGGCCTAACTTTGACCTGCCATAGGTCAGTGATCTCACAAGGTGCATCTAAAAGTCTTACGCCAAACGATCCGCTATCCAATTGTGAACAGCTATGCAAAATTTGGCACGGCTACGCCGCGCCGTGCAGAAACCATTCTGGAAAAACCTTCGGTGGGGTGTCAATTTGGCCCCCCACCCGAGAGCGTGTTAAACAAGTTCAAAATGCACACTGAAACATTGTCTTTGTTGTCAAAAACTTTGTCTTTCCATGAGTTTTTGAGTGCATTCGCGAGGAGCATTACGCATATGGATGACCCAGTAGTAGTAGCCTATTCTTCGTAGAAAAAAGCAAGGAGAATGGAGATATAGATGCGTCGATATTTCAGCAACCTGCTTTTATCGAAACAAATATCGGCAGTATCGGACTGCTGATATTCGTTTTGATAAAGGCACGTCGCCGAGGTATCAACGCGCCTACCTCTCCATTCTCTTGGTTTTTCTACAAAGTTTTTTTTCAAAACTTCTAGAGCATGCTACGCATTGCCCATTTCGTCATCCCTGACTGTCGCAGTTGCGTGCGCCCACAAACAACACAATGCGTATTGTTCAGCGGCTACCATCGGCAATGTCATGACGATGCCGATAGCAGAGCCCAGTCACACATGCTAGAGACCTGTATCACCCGTGCACCGCGCGAATATATGTGCCCATGACCTATCAAACAAACACTGTGCATGCCTTGAAAGACGTATGGGCGCTGCATGACCTACAGCAGTCGATGCACCCCAAAACCCCAAACCACCACCACCACCACCACCATCGCCTTGAAAAACGTCCCCACATGTCTGGCCACGCTAACAGGAGTCTCTGATCCACTCCCAATGGCACAGGACCGACGTGGGTCGCCGAAGTACGCTGGCCGTGAGACGGCACCGGATACGCTCCCTTCCGGGGTACGAGCCTACGCCGGTCACCGAAGTACGCTGGCCGTAAGACGGGATCGGATACGGCCACTTCCGGGGCATGAGCCTACAGTGGTTATTCAAACTGATCACCCATTGTTCTAACCAGGTCCCATTTCTACAGTGTCCGAACAGCATCTAAAAACTATGTTAAACACCTTTATATTTGCCTGTTTCATATCACCAACATAAAACTATGACCTTTATTTTTGAGTTAGTTATGTTGGGCCACAAGCTCAAGTGTGAATCAGCCAGTGCAACCTAAAATGGGTCACAGAGGTCATTCACAGATGAATCGCAGGTCCGGTACCAGTATATGTAGCATGAGTTCTTAGTCACAAAGCAGCGTCCTGCCCACAAAGTGTACCCAACTGTGTCCTGTCCTGCCTGAAGTGTATATTTAGTCCTTAATCCCAGCCAAAGTCCTGCTGTTTTAGTGTACAACAGCTCTTCACAAAGCATGAATCCCAGTCATCAGTCCACAGCCTTCAGCCTTAAGTCATAAGCCCTTCACCACTTGGTATGAATCCTAGCAGTCATGAACCAAGTCTGATCTAGGTGTTATCTTAAACCCAAACAAAGACAGAAAAAGTATACCAAATATTATTATGCCATATTATATAAGCAGAATTATACCCAAACATGGATACTGCAGGGTGAACATTGAAAGACAAGAAACAAGTTAACAAGAAAACAGATTGCTTCCACATGGTGTCATTTAAACCCCAAACTTATTGATGACATTGTACAATGTACTGTTGACACTGCACTGTTCTATAAGTGTGTGTGTGGGGGGGGGGGGGGCTTCCACAATTATAACCCAAAATCAGGAAGACATCTGGCCAGGCAAACTACATTGAACTACAATAAGGTTGAAGGTAAAGTTATATTTGCATGGTTTGAGCTCTCTGTTCATGCTCTATCAAAAAAATTGCCTAAAACTGATGAGTTTTGAGATTTTCCAACTCCTAGCTCACACAGTTTTGCATACCAGCAGCATGGAATATGAACATGCTTGCAGGCATCCAGTTCCAGATCTACAGGATCTATATGTGAGTTGACTCCCAGACATGACAAATACTGAATACAGAAAGGAGAAAATATGTGCAAAAGATGGGCTGTGACTTGAATTAGATACTGCCTGCTCAAGAAGGGCTGGTTAAATAAAAGTGGCTGACAAGAATACAAGGACAACTAGCAGTAAAAGCCAGTTCATGGTTCTTACTATGCCTGCATTAATGCTCGGAAGAAAATATGGTACTTATGTTGATGCCATCCCACGCCATGCTTTTCTTTAACTAAGGCAAGTCTGAGTTATGATTAGTTAGGGATGGCCTCATTCCTCACTTCCTCAGCCTTAAAAACATCACAGCAAAAGGGTGGTCTATAAACTAAGTGCAGTATTAAGAGACCACAGGTTTGGGATTACTCCCCATGTGCAACAAACAAGAGCCCATCACTTCAGAGCCCAACTCAAGAAATGCTATTCCACAGGCAATTTGAAGCCACTATTCTAAAAACAATCCACCATCTAGTGCCAAAGCTGCATTATCATAGATTTTTCAATAGCGGGCTAGATGAACACTTGGCCAGCACTAAATGTTCAGTGGACTGAGAAGAGATCTAAACAACATTGTAATAAACAATGAATGATGATGACATTATTAAGATTGTTTATTCAAAATGCTTTTCAAATCCTTTCCTTTCCTGCTGTCTCAATTTGAGGCAACCTGACAGGTGCAGGCAACTGGCCTTAATTCTTAAGAATATACTTGCAAGACTGAACTTGAGAAACATGTAATCAGCACCATGTGATATACGTGATTGGTCTTCATAGCATTACCCATATTGAAAAGTGATGCTGTGCTGTTAAAGGAACACAAGAGATGGGGCTAATAGTGTAAAAAGTTCAGCAATGAATGCAATTACTGTTGACTAGTAATCATCATGCAACAGTTTGGCACCAAATATAATTGCATGATCAGTGGGATATGCCTACCTAATAAGCAGGGAATGAAGAATAGAACTGTTATGTTGTGTGATGTGGCCACCACTTATAACTATCGATTTCAACAACATTCCAGTGCAGCTGACAGTGACAGCTCACCAGTCTTACAGAAGGTGGGATCAAGTCAGAATTAACCGAACAGACCACTGCCAGGCCACTTTCTCGCAAACCACAATCGACGCCACAGGTACCAACATCTGAACACCGACAACCACCAAAAACCAAAAGGCTTCAGGCATCCAGGGCGCCATACAAGCGACGATTCGCTCACTTGCTGGATAACACTCACAGGCTCACACCCCAATATGTATCAGCCCACACAAAGGCACCTCTTCGACCCCGTTTGTAATGGCCCGGCCGCGCCTCGTACGATACGGGTTACTGACGCTCATAACACAAACCTCCATGGCGCAGTAATTACGATATACGACGCGCTTCTGCTAGCCGGCATCCACTCAACGCTACCAAATACCACATTAGGCGCTCCTGCCTGGAACAGCTCTTTGAAAATAAGTTTAGACTGCTTCTTTGACATCGATTTAAAGTCATCAAGACGCATGAGGCACCTTATTATCAAAAAAACTTTTCAGTGGCAGTTTCTCTAATCGCAAACCGATTGCGTGCCATGGTGAAGGTGTATTGCCATCAGGGCTTTGATTTTTCCAAATGATATAAAATATTTCTGAGTCTACTTCATATATGCGTATAATTTCATTCAAACACATTCTTCCACTTTATTTTAACGTGAGGCCTAGAACGAGAAAGCTAGGTTGGTAAGTGTGTTTAACGTATTTGCAAATATGGTTTCATGACGTCATTCAAACATAACTAGCGTGGTATCGAATCAAACAGTACTTTAGTGCATTCATGTGTCGCTTTTTTTGCTGAGGGTAGTAAAACGCTCTCTTGCCGGCACGGCAAGTCTGGGTTTCTGGGCGGGTGGGGTGTGCTAGCTCGGCGTCGGCATTTTCTTCTTATTGTGCGAGTAATCGACGAAATGTGTAAGTTTCTGAAATGTGTAGTATTGCCTGTACAGATCAATTTGGGCCATCCACAGCTGTGACCGCTGAAATTTTACAACGTCCCCCGAAGCATATGCACAGCAATGCGCTCAAAATCTTGCTCTGCAAGTGATACCGGTATCTCTTTGTGCCCTGCTTGGTTATTTTCTGTTTGCCTTGTGGCATGTCATAATAATTTGTATTCGTGTAAGCTTTTTTGTGTTTCTCTTCAATGTGATAGGCAGTCAAACCCGCGTGAGCTACGCACCCATCTGCTGAAGGTGTCAGACTGCGACACGATTTTATCAAGGCCCAGTTTGTAGAAGGTAGCAGACTAGTTGACAAGACACTTGGGGCATGTCCAAGCCAGCCCCAAATTGGGGTGCCAGCTTTTCTGCCTAGGACAGGGGCTGATGATTTCTTGACTGGAGTGCTCTAGGATTTTCCTGACAATCTAATTTGCTCATACTAGTTATGTCCTGCACTGCTCTGCTCAAAATTTATTATCTTAGCATTGAGTCTTCCACATGTCATTATGCATCACAACTTAATTTTGCCACATTAACAGCATTTGAAAGTGTGTTGAACATTGCAAGTTCATGTTGTGAGTGAAGTAGATACCTGCAGGTGACATTTGCAAGGATAATATATATTGTATTTTAAGGATCTGCTCTATCCTTTTTCTTCAGGATACCATGCCCTTTTTTCCAAACTATTGCATCATTATGCCAGAACAATATAAGGAACAAGTCAAAGGCTGCTTTACTGCTGTAAAGCAGCAGAGCTTTTGTGGAGTCAAATAAGGTCAGTTATCACAGCAATTTGGACTGGCAGTGATGAGTTCATTGTATAGATCAAAAGATAGGTTGCAGAAATGGATGCAGTAATCTTATATAGGTATCATGTCTAGTTTATTTGTAGTTTATTTCAAGAAAATATAAACAAGAAACATATTTCAGTGTGCTTTGATCTATTCAGAAAATGGCTTTCAGGATTCAACATTGGTTTTTAATGTTTGAAGCATGATCCCCATGGTATAAATCCCTGTTTTCAGCACTTGATGTTTCACAAGAAATCAGGATATTTAGAATAGGTGCACCCAATGCTCAGCTCTGACTCCTTTGTAAGTCCAAAGGCTAACCTAATGGACTCGCCTGAGACTGCACTAGCCACAGCAAGGAGAGGCCCTGGAGGAACCCAGGGACAGCATTTTCCATTCAAGTTCAGAGGTGGCAATGCAGCAGTTGAAGGGCAAGATGTTATTTGGTCTCTAATTGCACTAGACATATTTCAAAGAAATCAGTTCTGGCTCCATTGTAAGAAAGTTCTTAAATGCTGTGTGTATGAACAAAAGCTCCACAGCCCTCCAAAAAGCAGCATGACATGATGTCATTAGAAGGCTTCCAGCTGATGTGTTATTGTGGGCCTGATCCACCAATAATGCCAGGTTTCAACATGTGTGTGGTAACAATGCATGCCATAGAAGTCTGAAATTTCTGTTGGAGGCCCACTTTTTTGAACATGTTGCTGTATTGCTCCCTATCCCCCACCCCTCCACCCCCCCCCCCCCCCCCCCAGCCTTGTGGGTTCACTTTGGTTATAGTGCCAGTTGTGTCAGGTGCAATAGAACCATAGTCTGCCCCACCAGGCTATGAGGGAAAATGCAAAGAGGAGAGCAAAGGAGTTTGTGGTTCTGCTACCATTTTATAATTTATCAGCCTGAGTTTGAATCTGCTCTTATGTGGGCTTAAGTCTGAGTTTGAGTCCAAGAAAATGACTTGTACCTTGAATTTGAGCATGGTCAGATTCATCTGTGAAAGGGACCAATCTATTTGAGCCTGGGCCCCAAAAGTCTACATGCTGAACCCAAACCTAGGGGTGTTCAGACTCTTAGACTCAGATTCAGACTCATACTCAGACTCAGACTCAGAGATATGCTTAATACTGGCTGTTATTGAAAGGAGCTTATTGATTTGTGACACTGGTGTACTTGTTGATTATTTACAGATGCTCATCCAGGCACATAAGTACACCATCAGTGAACTCTGCCACAAAGTAGCACTTCATGCTCCCTTGTGGTTTAGTCCTTTGCACAAAACCTAAACCTTTGTGCGTTCTGCTTTTGCTCTTCAATGCTTACCTCTGTGGATTTCATGACAGGGCTGTGTATGGCTCGCTCATGCTGTTGTAAATCTTAGTACAAGCAGCCAGGCATATGAAAAGCTATGAGTGTTGAAATGACCAAGTAGTAAGCAGTCATTTGCCTGCAGTCCCGAAAAAGATCCAGGATCCAATAACCATAGAACTTAATGGGATCCTGGATCCGCCCTTGGAATTCAGGTGCATGTCTGTAAATATTGCATAAGGCTGCCCTATGGGGCACATAGGTTTGTGGGATTATTGTAAATATAGGTAAATGATGTATCCTCTAACCATTGTCCTGCCTATTACATTAATTGTTCACCAGTTGTGCCACTCCCCTCTTTTCTTTGACATGATTGTGACAAAATTGCATTTTATTCTTTAAAAAGAGCAATGAAAGATTGATGCCACATATAGGATGGCAAAGTAATATGCCTGAAGTCTGATGAAATCCAATTTGGGGGTAGGATAGGTTCTAAGCTGCTTGCCACACTGCTTGGGGGCAAGTTTCAAGTTCCTCATAAGCATTTTTAATGTGCACAACAGGGTGCACGGCCTGAATTATGTCCGTGAGCTTTATATTGAATTAATTCATCATTGGTATACTTTGTGTGCTTGGATGTTATTTTTCCAGTTGGGTGCCAATAACTTGTGCCCCTCTTTTGTCTTATTGTGCAGTAAACCAGGTATATGATGGTTGGAGATACAAAGCAGCCAATGGTTACGCGCGTAACGCGGATGAGGAAGGATCGATTTGACAGTCTCAAATGGTCACCTTTTTGCTACTGCCATCAAAGAATGAATAAGACCAATGGAGCGCCCCATTGTAAATCTTATGTAATGCTATCATACGAGCGCATTGCGGCTCAGCCGGGAAAGCCTGCAGTAAAATCTGAAAAACGAAACATTTTCGTAAAGATACCTGCCATCTGTCCACCTCCGACAGCGGTCAACAGCCAGACGTCGCTGGTGCTGTCGCTGCTGCTAGCGGTGGGCCTGTTCGCCGGCCTGCAGCTGCTGAAGCCACAGCTGTCCGCCTCGCCGTCGCTGACAGTGGCCGCCGGCGCAGCCAGCTCGCTGCTATTTCTCCTCATGCTGACGGCCGTAGGCAATCTGGAAGCAGCCCTCTTCGGCAAGGGCTTCCAGACGAAGCTGCTGGAGGTGCTGCTCTGCCTGGCCATCGCGTGCACGGCGGCAGGCATGATCCACAGGGTCTGCACCACAGTCTGGTGAGGACGGCGGCGCGGCAGGGACGCCGGCGGTGCGTGGAAAGGTGGTCGAGTAGGTGGGCGGGAATGTTGGGGGGAGGGCTTCAACTCCTCTGGTCTGCAGAATGGGAGTGCGCGGGGGGATATCGTGGTGAACTGGTAGTGGTTTGCAGAAAACCGTTGGAGCGCGGTCACGCTCGGATCATGTGGTACGCCTGATTTCTGCTTCTGTAGTACGCACACTGCACTAAGTGTGAATTAACCTCAGTGTACATCTCAAGCCGTCCCAGTAGCTCAGTTGGTGAGTGCGCCTGCCTTCCGGCACACCCAACCGTGGCGGGTAGGGTCATAAAATAGAATGTAATTCATGGAATGTTCTCGTACAAGGCACTGAGGCCCATCTGAGCTTGGGTGTACACTTCTACAGATTACGTATTGTCGATCATCAATTACACTTCTACACACAGGCACACGCTACACATTTATCATAGATACTACACTCACACATACATTGATACAACATTACAACAAAATCTGCTTGCCACCCCCTACCTAGCACACTAAGTTTACCCACTAACACACAAGTGCAACGGCAGAAGTGCATTGTCAACGCATGATGATGGATGAGATGCTTTGAAGACGATGATGAACCATAAGATACAAGTCGCTTTATTTTGGTTCGAGTCGCTATGTGCGCTCCCTGTTCGCTCCTGGACACGGTGGCCTGCGGCCGGTGGCAGTGGCCACGCTTAGGTCAGGTGACGTTTGAGGGTAGGACGGCCTTGCCGAGCATTTTGACACGTTGAACTTTCGTTGCCAAATTCGGTCGCGCGCTTGGAATTTCACACAATAAGCACTGTTTAACGACGGCATTGATCCTAGAAATTCATCCAATCGATAGTTTTGGCCTAAGTCGAAAAACGTGAAAAAGTTATGCGCATTATCCTAGGGCCCCGCATTTTTGATAGCTTCGAAGCATTGCTGTTCCAGTCAGCCTTTGAACCTGGGTAAAAACGGTTGTCAGGTGTTGTTTTTACTTGAAAACACATGGACGCAACATGATCATTGCAGTCGATGCGCCCCAAGACACCAACAAACAACAATAGTTAATTCCCACATGTGTTGTGTGGAAGTCAACGGTCTGCAACTCCGCATTTAGACAGAGTTGCAGCACACTCTGCATTTAGACACAGCACACAGATTATACAAGCGAACCTGGATATCCTGTATCGAGTGGGAAATTCGAGTAAGCCGACATCCCGTTTATCGGGTGTGGTATGGTACGGGCTTTAGTGGTCCCCTCCTTCAAAGGTGTGGGTCCGATAGGAGTGAATTTTGCTTGGACTGCAGCATCAAAATATAGGCGGTGCATGTGATGTTCACTTCACGCGCGGTGATTACGCTGTTCTTATGGTGAGTGTCTGCCTTCATCATCCACGATCATACGGAGCATTAATTAAGAGAAGCTACATCGCTGAGTCGGATAGGATCAGAGGATTTTGTCTCAGAACTGTCCTCGCTGTCATTTGCTAGCCATTTGTAACACCACAGGCTCTGCCTAAGAAGCATTCGCCGTTGCTCAGGAACCTTTCGCGGCGTGTCCACCGCACGGCATGGCAGGAGCCGTCCCTGGCACTGCTCGCACGCCAGTTGGTGCTGGCCCCTGCAGCGGTGTCAGCTGACTGCCGTCCCCCCGGCACCACTCCTGGCAGCGGCGGCGGCTGACCCCCGTACCCCGGCACGACTCCCCGCAGCGGCGGCGGCTGACCCCCGTACCCCGGCACGACTCCCCGCAGCGGCGGTGGCTGACCCCTGTCCCCCGGCACCGCTTCCCGCAGCGGCGTCAGCTGACGCCCGTCTCCCGGCACCACTCCCCGTAGCGGCGGCTGACCCCTGTCCCCCGGCACCACTCCCCGCAGCGGCGGTGGCTGACCCCTGTCCCCCGGCACCGCTTCCCGCAGCGGCGTCAGCTGACGCCCGTCTCCCGGCACCACTCCCCGCAGCGGCGGCTGACCCCTGTCCCCCGGCACCACTCCCCGCAGCGGCGGCTGACCCCTGTCCCCCGGCACCGCTTCCCGCAGCGGTGTCAGCTGACGCCCGTCTCCCGGCACCACTCCCTGCAGCGGCGGCGACTAACCCCCGTACCCCGGCACCACTCCCCGCAGCGGCGTTGGCTGACCCCCGTCTCCCGGCACCACTCTCCGCAGCGGCGGCAGCTGACGCCTGTCTCTCAGCACCACTTCCCGCAGCGGTGTCAGCTGACGCCCGTCTCCCGGCACCACTCTCCGCAGCGGCGGCAGCTGACGCCTGTCTCTCAGCACCACTTCCCGCAGCGGCGTCAGCTGACGCCCGTCTCCCGGCACCACTCTCCGCAGCGGCGGCAACTGACGCCTGTCTCTCAGCACCACTTCCTGCAGCGGTGTCAGCTGACGCCCGTCTCCCGGCACCACTCCCCGCAGCGGCGGCAACTGACGCCCGTCTCCTTGTTTCAGTCTCATCTCGTCCCTGGCCATCCTGTACTACATGAACCGGCTATCCCAGGCCGCTTATGCCGCGCCGGCCGTGGTGCAGGTGGCGCCATCTAAGAAGCGGCGATGAAACTGTACCTCGTCGGCCGTGGCGCAGGTGGCGTCATGTAAAGGATGGCGATGGGACCGCGCCTCGGGCTTGGGATGCACAAAGGGTTTGCTGCAGTTAACGCCGGGGCGGGAGGGGGGGGGGGGAGGGGCAATGAGCGGAGAGCACTGCGATAGTGCTGTCTGCTCAAGGTTTTGTAAAGGTTACCCGAAAGCGCTCATACTGGAGAGAATAAGGTGTGATGACAGCTTGCTTGTCTGGCAGTGTGTTGTCTGCTCGTATTGGGCTTTGCGCTAAATTCACGTTGCTTGGGGGTTAATGCTCTTTGTTTTATGTCCGAAATGGCCATGGTCCGTGATCCTAACATGTTGATGCTGTTTGGTTTACGTGGAAGTGTGGCACGCGCGTGTGCTCACTTAATAGCTGAGTTCAAGACACGAGCCTTTCACTTGTTTTCCACGCGTGACGTATGTGAGCTGCAATACGCAACAAAGGCAAAATACACATTCATTCCAAAGGCATTGTTTCGCATCGGGCGAAAGCATGCCGGCAGATCGGTGGTACGCGTACAGTGCACGTCATCACTGGCGTAGAGGGCGGCTAATGGCAGTCGAGCTCCCTTCTCTCTGCTTCTGTTTCCATTTCGGTGCATCTTTATGGGTTCTAATCAAAGGGTGCACATCGAGGAGTCATCATGACTAATCGTTGTCCAGCTTTCAGTATGAACCGTTCTGTCAGCACTATCCACACCTTACGTTCTGCGATGGCGCAGGGTGTGATGGCATGCCCAATAATGGAGCGGGATGTGAACTCACGACTCTGTTTCCACATCCTGGGTGGCGCGCTCTCGATCCCTCGCTGTCTTCAAGTTCAGCATCGCCGGTGCCCCATGATGAGCGCCCCGGGTTGAAGGGTGCCGCGCCTGCCCAACTCACAGGGGGCAGCTGGCCGTCACCCACGCGTCATGGGGCCATGGGGGGGGGGGGGAGGGGCGGTGGGACCGCGGCCTGTTGGAGGCCATGTCGTTTCGCCCGGTACATCGCTCGGCCGTGCGCAGTCTACTTCGGCGAAGTTTCAAGTCGCGTTGGCTGTTGTGTGATATCTGCGATTATTAATGGCTGCCGAATATCTATGACTCGGTTCCGTGTCGTTTCACGGATCAGCGAGGGCAGAAGTATGGGTCATTCGGATCATTTGGTGCATTTGTTGCATAATTTTTATCCATAGTGTTTGTGGATTACTCATTATTTTTTCATACAGATGCATGAAAATGCTTTCGGTCTATTCAACATCGTATTCCTTAACTACGATGTGTGCGTACCAACTGGTTCAGAAATGCAAGCACAGGAAAGCCGTTCTGTATTTTACACATTCGTCATGCCACTGAATGATATGATGATCACTGCAACCAGATATTCCAGCAAGCACATTCACCGAAGCACAGCAATAAAACGGAATTCGCCACAAGTTATCCATCACTGTCGGCCGACTCATCGCGGAGACCCTGGTTTTCGTAATATGTCTCCTTGTACATCATTACGCGACGTGGTCGCACCCGACTGACGACTGGAAACCAATTAGTAGGTTTTATTCCTGCCGGACGACATCTGAACATCGTTGAACGCTAGCCCTCAGGCGCCCATGACAGTGCCGAGGGCTTAAGCACAAATATAGATTATAACGCCCCGCCTTCAAATGCATGTCAGATGCCACCAGCATCCAAACGCGCAGTTGCTGACACGTAGTCGTGTAACATGTCAGCACACGGCCAGGAAGCATGTGTAAAACATGACCCGCAATTCTGTCTGAAGCACGACAGCGATACATCTGCAAGTGGCGGCTCTTAGTAAAGCCCTTGCACAGCGGCGGTCAGCGCCCCCCCCCCCCCCCGCGCCCATTCACAGCTCGGCATCGGCGTCTTCCTGGATGGCGTCGAAGCCGTGGTTGACGGTGCCCCCGTTGGTGTCGGTGTTCGGCGTTCTCTGACGGTCGGTACCGACCGCGGTGCCGGGCCAATGAGGCTCCGGTACATGGTCACTGCAGGGGAGGAGTGTCAGGGTCAGAGGGACGGACGCCCCCGGCCGCCGGCACCGCCTGCGGCGCCGAGCCGATACATCGTCACTGCAGGAGGGTGTCAGGGTCGGAGAGGCGGACACTCCTGGTAGCCGGCGCCAGTCGCAGCTCCGTAACATCGTCACTGCAGGAGAGGAGTGTCAGGGTCGGAGAGGCGGACACCCCTGGTAGCCGGCGCCAATCGCAGCTCCGTAACATCGTCACTGCAGGGGAGGAGTGTCAGGGTCAGAGAGGCGGACACCCCCGGTAGCCGGCGCCAGTCGCAGCTCCGTAACATCGTCACTGCAGGGGAGGAGTGTCAGGGTCAGAGAGGCGGACACCCCCGGTAGCCGGCGCCAGTCGCAGCTCCGTAACATCGTCACTGCAGGGGAGGAGTGTCAGGGTCAGAGAGGCGGACACCCCCGGTAGCCGGCGCCAGTCGCAGCTCCGTAACATCGTCACAGCAGGGGAGGAGTGTCAGGGTCGGAGAGACGGACACCCCCGGTAGCCGGCGCCAGTCGCAGCTCCGTAACATCGTCACTGCAGGGGAGGAGTGTCAGGGTCGGAGAGGCGGACACCCCTGGTAGCCGGCGCCAGTCGCAGCTCCGTAACATCGTCACTGCAGGGGAGGAGTGTCAGGGTCGGAGAGGCGGACACCCCCGGTAGCCGGCGCCAGTCGCAGCTCCGTAACATCGTCACTGCAGGGGAGGAGTGTCAGGGTCGGAGAGGCGGACGCCCCTGGCCGCCGGTACCGGCTGCGGCGCCGAGCCAATGAGGCTCCGGTACATCGTCACTGCAGGGGAGGAGTGTCAGGGTCAGAGAGGCGGACGCCCCTGGCCGCTGGTGTCAGTTGCAGCTCCGTAACGCCGTCACTGCGGGGAGGAGTGTCAGGGTCAGAGAGTCTCTGTACGCGCTCTCTTCCGTGACGTCATGCTCCTGGCTATGCATTATCTATCATGCAGTCAGCGTTATTCAGATTGGGATAACGTCCTGTCTCGTGATTTCGTATGCCGGGATTAGCCGACCTCGCGTCTGCCACAAGTTGCTTGTCAAAAACGAATGTACTAAACAATCATTGGGATATATCATGAATATACTCCACATTTCCAGCAGCCACTATGGCCGTGAGTCTGCTAGTGACCATGATAGCTAGTAGAAGCGTCAGGTATGTACGTTATCTAGCTCAACAAGTGCCTGATATCCTCGTTCAACCATTTCCTCTTTGTATACATTTGCTAGTTTTTCTCAGCACGAGAACTCATAACGTTTAAAACGAGAACTTACGTCTTTCTTGGTCGGAAACGATCATTACATAAAGCTAATCGGATGAGCAGCATGATGCTGTATACAGAAAAATATAAGATCACCTCTTTCGGGACTTTTCCACATATCATCAGAATAAGATTTTTCTTATTGTTTCCCTGCGAACTTTCTTGCGTGCATCAGGCACGACATTCTGTCCTCGAGATGCCCCAGTTCTCTTCCAATAAATTTTTATGGACTACTTCCCTGGCTGACACGTGAGTCGGTGAAATGGTTTGTTAAGTGAAATGTGAATACAGATCGCTTTGCACCATCTGTCATGCACGGTGGCGAGTGCCCCGGGACAAAGCCGGCCGAGGCACGTGCGTAACTGGACAAGCGTGCATCATTTTGTGGGAACGAATCGCGGTCCATCAGTGCAGAGAGTATTCACCACATGAACTCCGGTGAGGCAAAGACAACGACGAATGGATGTCACCTGCACTATGTAAAGATTGAGAACCAGTAACGAAGTGGTTAAACTGCAGCACCGACAACAGTAGCAGCACGTAAATGCAGTTCGAAGGCTTTCGAGATACTTTAAAAATGAAAAATGTAATACGGGCACACCAACACGTCGGCCCGAGGTCAGCACAACGGCCAGCACCGCTGAACCTGGCTGAAGCCCACGCCTGCCGGTCCGTACCTCACGTCCGGGGATCCGCACCTTGTCTCCCGAGCTCGGTGACCTGTCTCCCGAGCAGCTCGGTGACTTATCCCCCGAGCTTGGTGACCTATTTCCTGAGCCCGGTGACCTGTCTTTCGCGCTCGATGGCCTGTCTTTCGAGCTCGGCGACCTGTGTCCCGAGCTCGGTGACTTGTATCCCGAGCTCGGTGACCTGTATCCCCAACTCGGTCGCCTATGACAAGAGGCCACCACGACCCACCTGCCCAGCGTGCCCGCCTCGTGGAGCGTGTCGGGTAGCTTGAGGTACCGCGTCTCCGGCAGAGAGAGCGGAAGACCACCACACACCATCACCAGCACGGCCAGCACGATCTCAGGCAGGTGGGTGTAGTGATGCGCCTGTAACAACACGGAAAGCTGGGTTGCCCTGTCTGAAATGACCAATAAAGCTGGACCACTCCGCCTAAAACGGAATGTAAGAGTGTCTTACGTGGAATAGCCCCATGTATGGAATGTCCTCTGATAGTGAGAAGTTTTCAACGTTTCGATACATTGCATGTCATCATCAGGACGAGCGCAATGCTGCAAAGTTATCTAGTATCTAAATATCCTATCTTTCGTTGTAACTTTGCGCCATTGTACTCGTCCTGGTAATAAAACGTAATGTATCGAAGCGTTGACAAGTACATGAGTGGTAGCGACTGCTATCCTTGCCATAAAGTTTTTACTACATCTTGCATGGAATAGTTACAAAGCTTAATCTGTAATAACATTGAACTTAACTCAAACATGGATCGAAATGATAACTTCAAATTCAAATTGAATTGAAGCCATAAATTCAATTACAATTTCAGTCCTTCCTTACAGCCGTCAACCTCGCCCAATCGCATGTCGGTTTGAGTCCATCCCACCATTCGTTTCCCGCCCATATACTGACCAATCGCGCCACAAACGGCGCGAACACGGCGCCGAATTTGGAGCAGGCAGAGCAGGAGCCGAGAGCAGTGTTGCGCAGGCCCGTGGGGAACACCTCAGCCGAGTACACGAACACCAGACCGAATGAGGAGCTGATGCAGAGCCGGGCCAGCATGGTGAACAGCAACAGCGGCCAGTCTCGCTGGTACTCCCCTGAAGGAGATGGGACAGA